GGTGGCGCCAGCAGCGCCTCGCGCGGGAGGCAGGCAGAGCCCGCCACTTCCGGTGAGTGGGAGTGGACATCGGCAGAAACCCGCCTCTTCAAACTTCGGCGTGGGGATTGGGCTGCACTGAGAACAGGGATGGCTTGGATCGCCTGAACGTGGTTTGTAGGGCAAGGCCTATATAAGTTCGCTAACAGACCTCGAGGCCCCGGGCCGAGTGTGTTGTCTTCCAGCGAAACAAAGAGCTTGGTGAGCTGACGCAGATTCCGCAGGCTCTCAGCCACAGCTGCGGCGCCTGCATCACCTCGAAGGACAGAGAGGTGAGGCCCCAAGCTGCCACGCTCCTTTGAGGGCACACAATGATACGCCGTCCCATGCAACTGCAGCTCTCGGGCTTCGACTTCTTCGGGGTCCGAGCAGAGCGCCCTCCGAGGCCCCGGGCCGATCTTGTTCTGATCCAGGTTCAACCCGAGCTCTTTGAGCTCCGTCAGCCGGGCGAGGGCGGAGGCCACGGCCTTTCCGCCCTCCTCGCCTCGGTGCCCGCAGGGGCGTGACTGCTCAAGTGCTGCTTCCTGCCCCTTCAGCTGGAAAAAGTCGCGAGGCACAGCGAAGGGTAAGGAAATTGGCGGCCTTCCCGAAGGGAGGGGAACGGGCATTCGGGCAGGAGGGTTTTCGGAATCGAAATCTCAAGAAAGCCGGCGCGTGAATCCGAGACTCGGAAGCACCTCACGGGAGTCGAGGCCCGTTCAGGGAGCAGGCTAGGATGAGCTGGGCTTGGGACTTCATGGTGGGCTGCGTTCGCTGGCTGCAGTTGACAGTAGCAAACAAGAAGGCCTCTACGTCTCCACGGCTATCTCTACTAAATTACTAAGAAGCTGAGAGAGAACGGAGATGGATACACAGATGGGGTCGGCTTGCAGGCCCAACCCCAAGTGGGAGGCGGCCGCCAACAAGCTGGAAATCAAAAATAGCGAAATGCGGAGCGCAGCTGAGGCCCCCGGCCCAGGGAGTTTCCAGACAGAGCCAACATCAGCCGCTCCAGCTCCTTTTGTTGGCCGAGGCCCGCAGCGAGGGCCCGGGCCTCGTCAGCGCCTGGCAGCGGAAGGAGGAGGATTCTTTCTCCGCTCCACCGTCCGCTCCGAAAGGCCGCCGGGGCCGGGGCCGAACTCGCCGCCGTGGGCGCCGAGCCAGAGGAGGAGCTCTCGAAGTGTCGGGAGCTCTGGCAGGGCCCGGCAGAGCGGCGCGAAGAGCTTCTCGAACTTCTCCTTGCCGTCGCCGCCTCGGTGGGGGAGCGCCGGGAGCGCACGCCCGGTGGCGAAGAGCTTCCGGAACTCCTCGCTGTTGTCGCCTCGGTGGGAGGCCTGGGCCTGGGGCCTCCCGGAACCCGAGCCCCGCGCGTGGCGCGCCCGGGGCCTGGCGGATCTCCCGGCACCTGAGCCCGCGGCCGCCGAGACGAAGCTTGAGCTTCCGCGCTTCCACGAGGTCTTTGAATGTCTTCTCCTGCGTGCGGCCGGCGGCGCCGGGGCCGCGGGCGCTGTCCGAAGAGCTTTGTTTAGACCGGGAAGCGAGCGATTGTGCCGAGCAAGGGTGACTAGAAGGTCGTGTCGGGTGGGTGGTAGTAGAGGGGTTCCGGTTTCCAGGCCTCTTTGGGAGACACTTTGCCCTTAAGAACCCCGCCGTCGACTTCATTCCGTCGGCCCCGAAGTGATGAAGAACTTGCCACGCTTCAAAGACAGAGCACGCGAGCCTGCAACATGCACAGGAACTCCAGCGCTGGGTGGGTGACGGTGCCCTTCACCTGGACCTGAAGAGAGAAGGCAGCCACAGTGGCAGCCGGAGAAGATGGGAAGCTGTGAGAGAAAGAGAGGGAAGAAGCCACGCCACGAGCTCTC